CCCCAAAACCCCAAAACCCCAAAACCCCAAAACCCCAGAGATAAGATTAATTTGAAAATAGGTATCACGATAAAATTAATGATTAAATTTCCTCAGAACGAAGTCTTTGGTTAATTTCTGTACAAGTTAATTCGATAATTACTCATGAAGTAGCAGTTAGATTAATCAAAAGATATAAATTCTTAATTCTCAACTAAAGATATTTCAGATGGTTGAACACATTACCAGACCAGCAAAAAAAACAGAGCGCAGACTTGACAAGAGATACACTGTCCTTTCACTTGATGGCGGTGGCGTTAGAGGTCTAATGACAACAATGATTTTGGCTTCAATCGAGGAGCAGATCTCTGCAAAAATTGGAAAAACTTTCAAAATCACAGATGCTGTTGACTGCATAATCGGTACATCAGCAGGAGGCTTGATCGCCTTAGGTCTTTCTGCTGGATTCAGCGCTGTAGAATTAAGAGATTCAGTTATGGAGGAGATGATCCCCGCAACTTTTAGCAAGCCAAGAGGCAAAGTCATGAAGTGGTTTAAGCCCGCTTATGATGAATCCAATCTAGAGGGTTAATTCAGAAAGCATATCCACAAAAAGCTTGGCTTTAAGCCCTCAGATGACCCAACTCTAAAAAATCTAAAGGCTGCAAACCCAAGACTAAGAACATGCATTACTGCAATAGCTTACGGCTATGATGAATCAGAGGGTCCCTCTTTTACACCCAGAATCTTCGATACCTAAAACCCACTTGATGATTCAAAGACTATATTGCAAGTTGGCAGAGCTACATCAGCTGCTCCAACCTATTTTGCTCCTTCAAAAATTCAAGATCAAACTAATGACGGTACTGTTAAGGAGGTTGATTTCGTTGACGGCGGAGTCTTTGCAAATAACCCTGCTGGATGGGGATTCGCTCTTGCTGCTACTACTGTTAAAGCTGAAAATATCAGAGTTCTCTCCATTGGAACAGGATTCAGAGATTTTAGTCTTGATTAGAAAGCTGAAGCTGATCCAAGTTTTTGGGAAAAATCCAAAGGCACTCTTAAAGGATGGAAAGATTCTCTTCTTTAAACTCTTTAAGTAAAAGATACTTAGGGAGATAAGAAGGGAGTCGCAAGCTGGTTAAGTGCCGAGCTTTTAGGCAAATCAGTTTTTGATGTTCAGAAGCAAGCAGATCAATGTCTTGAACTCTTCAAAGATGTCATGGGGGACAACTATTTCAGACTTAACCCAGGACTTACTCAAACTATCAAGCTTGACAGAGCTGAGGAAGAAGATAGAAAACTAATGAGATAAGAAGTGAGTAGATATCTCAAATCAGATGAAGGTACTAAAGATGTTGAAAAAGCCATTACTTCGCTCTTAACTCCTGATGACTACTATGATAAAGCGTTGTCTTCACTTATGAAAGCTGCTCTTCTCTTTCAGTATTGTGAGACTATTGATCAAAATTCTACAAACGAGCAACATTACCAAGCTTCTGCCTTGTTAAAGCTACTCACCAAGAAGATTAATGATGTGAGCCCAACTGATGACGATGTAGAATAACTTCATTAAAAGATCAAAGAAGACATAGCTAGAACTGCATTGCACTATAAGTCAGACAAAGACTACCCTAGCATTAAGCAACAGGTAACTTAATAATCAGAATGAAATGATATTTTGCTCAATTAAGGAATAATTGAGAAAATATTCATGAATAGTATTTGAGTCAGGACTCTTTCAAAATACAAAGATATGCTAAAATAGAGAGAAGATACAATAAACTCAAATTCTACTGATTTATATTAATTTCTTGAATAAATTGAAAGTAACGAAGTATTTTTAAATTTCATTCTGAATCTTCATCAATCCATCTCATAATTTTATCAATGGGGTTTTGGGGTTTTGGGGTTTTGGGG